TAAACGAGAGCCTGGCACTTGCCACTTTGGCAGATTGCACTGTCAGGAGGTAAACAACAGAAAGAATGAGGAAGGACCCATCTGATAGGAAATGTCAGAGCATGATTGGATTAAAAAAACCTTCTAAATTAGGGTCATTAATCATGAGTAGCAAAAACAGTGACAGGTCTTGTTCTCAAAAGCTCTCCTCTGGAACTAAGCTGAGTGCCACCCGGAAATTGTGCAATTACCTTAATACCTGATTTAAATGAAGAGTATGCATGGCAGTGTCAATTGTTAATTGGGGAAAACAGCTCATATTATTTAGAGGTAATTGCCATCACAAGAAGTCTAGTTATCTAATCCTGTCTTTTTTTTTGTATGATGCACCTGTTTGTCTTGAATGCATAATTCACACAACACTATTGCATTAAATTCACTTCTATCTGACGCTGCCCTACACTGTGCAGCTATGGCTTAATATCATATGAAATGTCTTCCTCTGATGTAGTAAGAACTGTTAGCCGCATCCCGGCCAGTAATACAAATGTCAAGTATGACATCTTAAACTCTATCATCTCTGCACTTTCAGATGGAAAATTGAGAGCTGTGCATTGAGCAGAAACTTATTTTTTTTTTCCGTAGTCCATCTTATAGTCATCATCTTTCACCCAATAACCCAGTTCAATACTGCAGAGAGCACACAGCAATTAACTCGGAGCAACAGTTACACTAATGTATCACATTTCTCTGCTCTCTGTGTCGATGTAACAAACTGCACCCCTGAGGGCTGCTGCTGCAGAATGATGGCACGAGAGCTGGAATTGACGGGGGCATGTTAGGAACCAACAACCCCCCACCTCTCCCACCACTAGGAAACCAGACAGCTTCTCACATGCACTGACTGCCCCACTGTGCAAAGCTGAGATATCAGAGGAAATCTAATCAGAACTTGCCTGACTTGTACATAAGTCATTACAGAGCTAATCAATGCTTATTCTGCATGAATTTATTGATATCTGTTGTGAAATCCAAGCCTTTTCTTTCCATTTGAGCTGCTGTTTCTCCATCAGGCCGGGCCAGAGAGGCTCTGTTTAATGCAGTGAGAGCGAGACGTGGGAAGATGTGTCTCACATCAAATTCTTCCCCCCACATGTACGATATGTTAAAGATGTCTCACTCGCTTAGTGTAAGCGAGAAGGCTGCGTGGTTTGAGCATGTGTGTATTTTGTTTGTGCATGCTCCCAGGCTGTCTCTTTGTGGATCTTGGTTGGTCTCAATAGCAGTCACAGAGAAAGCCATGTGCACTGGTTCTTAGTACACTTGTGTTTGCATGACTAATGTGAATGTTTGAATGCCTTTATGAGAGAGGAGTACAGGCATACAGCTCTCTATTGAGTAGCATCTTAATTAAACCAAATTTTTCTGAAAGACTCTAAAGGCAGCTATTTTAGATTGCAATTAGCCATGCTTCACACAGCTAGCCCCTTGTCCACAAGTCTTTACAGGTGTGTTGTTAAGGCAATATTTCAGACTACTTTTCTGCATAATTTGTCCAAATGCAGCACACAGCTGGAATGCACATCATATTTAGCTTTCAGAGAATTACCTGATCACTGAACCACTGCTTTTCCCATGGTCATATCACACCAAATGGATAATGCATGCAGGGGCAGTATTATTACGGCTGCAATAATCACATATCCCCAGGCAAACTGGGCTCTCTGGCCAGCTTTGTCACATGCAAATTTAATACGTTTTTAGTGGTGACCACAATGGGCGTTTCATCTCCCAATTAATCACTCAGGTTTTCTCGTTCGGTTTCATTAGGAGACTTGAGATTTCATCACTGTAAATGCACATGTGTAGGGAAACAGATGCAGCCATTGTCGCAGATTCCTCAGGTGCAGCCAGAGGCCAGTCTTCGTTCCAGTTCCATGTCCTCACAGCTGTTTGACTGTAGCTTGCTTCTGCCACACCTGAGGCATTTTGGGTATGTGTGCCACAGAGTCAGAAATAGTGGAACACTGTGTCAAACCTTTAGATATCTTGTAAAATCAGAGGTGAAACAAAGTCTGGGTTCACACTGCAAGCCTTAGCACTCAATTCTGATTTATTGCTCAGATCTGTTTTGGGGGGTTTTCTTCGGCTGTTTTTTTTCATTATATATCATATCAGATTCCAGTGTGAACAGGCCACGGTCCTGAAGTGCCCTGCATGAGGAATGTTAATCTAGAGTGACGTAACAGTCATATGAATTCTGATATGACTATGACACATTGTAAAAAATCAGGCCTGTATCTGATTTGGACCATGTATGAAAGACCACGTTCAGACTGCAGGCAAAAGTTGCTCAAATCAGATTTTTTTGGGGGTCAAGTGACCAGGAAGTAGTGTGAACACTCAAATCTCGCCCAGATCTGATTTTATCAAATCAGATTTAGACCACTTCCATATGTGGTCCTGAATCAGACCCAGGTCTGATTTTTTTCAATGCGGCCGCAGTGTGAACAACAAAGGCGGATTTGATGCGACTTTTACGTCAATTTACTTCGACATTTGTCACAATTATGCGCCGGCGAGTTAATAATAAGTTAATAATAATAAGTAATTTGCAGCCATAACCCCGCAAAAAAAAAATCGGATCTGAGCAAAAAATCCGAATTGAGCATTAAGACTTGGTCAAAGTGGTCAAACGTGGTCAAAGTGTCCTGAATCAGAATTTAAAAGAATAAATTCCATGTGATTTGTGCTGTTCACACTGTCATAAAAAAATCTGATTTGAGCCGCATGTGAGCAAAATGGTTAGATTTGGGTCACTCTGGCCTGCAGTCCAAATGTGGTTAAAGAGCCGATAAAAGATTGTGATGAGTTCTTTCAACAGGAAATGTACAGATCGGTGACAATTTAATGGAAAAAACAGCACAAACATCCTAATCTATGTGTTTGATTGATTTACATCATATTTAGTCTCATCAGAATGTGTGAAAACCACTGCATTATCATGTTTCTCCACTCATTTATTCACGTATTTCCTTCAATTTCTCACCTGTCTGTATCCAGATCAGAGAGCCAGTATGACCTTAAATTGTGTTGCAGTTTATATCAGTTGTGTTCTTTAGATCCAATATGGTTTTCAGTGAGAATCTTTTATATTAGGACATCATGCCTGTGGATTGATGGCTCTGTCTCATATCTCATGAACCTTCCAAGTTATGTAATATTTCTATGTTGCAGACTTGTCTCATTCAGTTATAGGACACATAGGGAGAAGCCTTTTAAGCCCCCTTGTTTTGTCAGATTCATAATGCCATTGTGCTCCCCTACCGTAGGTGAGCTGGGACATGCTTGTCAAAGCTCTAATAAAATATTCCTGGTATACTGCTTACATTATTTTTACCTGATTAGATGAAGCATCCAGGCATGACTTTATGGTTCATGAGAACAGAACATTGATAAAAATAATAAAAAAATAAATTTATTGTTATCTGTTTAGAAAGTACAGGTTGACCACAGGCCTGCTTGCTATTGCTGGAATATGACGTTAACACACACTAACAACTCAGCTGCAGCCACATGACTCTGCCCAGGAAGGTTATCTGTCTCCAATGATTTATCTCTCTGCTACCTACAGTCAAAGCAGGTATCTTATTAGGAAAGGTTGCTAGTTAGTTATCAAGGAAGAAGGCTACAAGGCAACCTTCCAAATGACACTGAGCAAAAGCTCATCCCCACCCACAGAGCTTATGGTCTGCTGTTGATAGCAAAGCACTAAATTATTAATGCATTTTCATTTGTGTGTGTTGGCTCTCACCAGCGCTGCAACATTCGCCTCTCCATGGAGATTGTTTTTACACTTTGCTCAAAGAGTATGCCTCTTCCCAGCCCCCTGATGCTTTAAAGCACCATAAGTAGAAAAAGTCATTGAAAAGACTTAGTGCCACTGGTGACAGAGCCTCCACTCCGTGCCTACCAAAATACTCATTTGGAGTGTGACATCATTATCACAATCCTTCCCTGTTGCATGAAGAAGATGTGACAAATTCCCCTGACTCCAATTAGGCTCTTGTTTAATTACTTCCATTTACTAAGGTATTAATTCAGATCCCTTTCCTCAAACCCTCACTAATTCCAGTATGATGCATTGTCACCCATCATTTCTGCACAGTATACAGTTCACAACTTTGGAAAGTAAGCCAACTGGCATCATTTATCCAAAAACCTAGGCAGAGTCACAGCTAAGAGTGTGTAATAATAAGATAACAATTAAGTGTAATATAGCAAAAAATAATTTAGATGTGGAGCACTGAGTAATGATTTGCAGAGTTAGATTTTGTGAAAAAGCCTATGACGGAGTTTGGATGTGAAGCAGAAACAAATTTGTTGCAAAACTCTGCCAAGAATAGCCTATTTGGCAGGTCTTAAAGATTTATTTTTTTATTTTAAAAAGGGTCATTAAAATCAGCGTACACATGGACTTCAGCATATTGATGCTGAAACATGCTGCTCTGACTCAAGCTGGCCCGAGAAATAATAATATAATGCTATCAGATTAGTATGCGCTTATATCTCGTGGTTTTGTACTATTTCTGTATTTGTGCAGAAATCGAACTCAGATTCACTGTGGTCCTGTCAATGTATCTTCTTTCTTAGTGATTTGTGGGTGAATGGGAAGTGAAGTGTGGTGCAGGGGGTCATATTCTGCTTATAGGAACCCCAACAACTCTTGAGCCAGCCCTGCTTTAACTCATCTTATCAACCCATAATAATATAACACATTAGTTTGCCTATGTATAAACTACGTTTTATTGTATCATGTGAAATGCTGCTTTGATACAGTATGTTCACTTTGAACAGGGGTTAAGGGGTGACGTACTGAATGTGGGACCGAGTGCGGGTCTACACAAACTGCTGTAAACTATCCAAAACTAACCAGCAGGAGTCACACGACCACTATTTTTTATGATAGGTAGCCGGAAAAAAAAAAGCGGAGAAAATCCAAGCGGAAGTGAGGAACTCAGCGGAGCAGGAAAACTTTTTTTTTTGGTCAACTTGGAGGCGCCTGTATTACATCGGAGCTACGTGATGACAAATAAAAAACTCTTATATACCGAGTTCTGAAGTTTGAAAAGCAACTTCGTCGCTGGGGTACAATGGGACTCCCCACTTTGGAGTTCACTGACTCTTTCCTGGACAGTCCGGACTTCAGAGAGCGTATTAAATGCCATGAAATCGAGCTAGAGCGGACAAATAAGTTCATCAAAGACCTCATCAAGGATGGGAATATGCTCATCACTGCGCTCAAGAGTAAGTAGCCCAACGTGGCCTTTTTCCACTCCTACGGGTCCAGAAATAATCTTTTATAAGTGTAACTACCTGAAAGCCACAGGCGCCTTGTAATTAGAGGATGCATTCATTACAGCTTATTTAAGTCTGCTGTGTTAGTGTCTGAATGGTCCATATTTGAACTCAAGCCACCGGAGCTGAATAACCCTGTGCTCTCCCATTGGGAAGCATTTATATTGCTGGGGAAAAGCCTTGCAAAAAAAACCCCCACACATAATTCATTATTTGGAGGTTGTTGTATTTCCAGGATTCCTTTTTTTTTGTGTGTGTCTTTTTGTGTTCCTCCCTGGCTGCATGCATGCATAGGCTTGTCTAACAGAGCCTGAGAGTACAAACCAGAATCTATGATATGAGTGGTTTTACTCTGCTAGATGCACAATCACAAGGCCACAGACAGACATGCATATGAGTAGTGCAGAGCTGGAATTTGCTTTAACTTCAGTCCATTAATGGAAAATACTTTCACCCTCAAGGGCTCTCAAGTCACCTATTAGGAGGGAAATATAGACTAGTCTTTAATGACTGCATGAATGAGAGCTGTACGACTGTCTGGATGCGGATGCAGCACTGGTGTGTCATGGGTCATTGTCCTCTCAAATTCCGAGTTTAATCTCAAATTCCACTGTGCTGATTAAAGTGGACTTCCTGTTCTGCTGTATCACTGTGGGGATGGGAAGTGTGTCTGTGAAATGAAGAAAGATTGGAAATATAGGCCTAATAAATATGGAATAGGCTTGGAATAGGATGAGAAGGCCATGGCAGTGCAGTAATATTCACAATTCAACCTGGTCCTGTCAACTTTTGTGAGATTTTTTTATCATCATTCCTACATACAGTACATGTTTTTGCTTTTTGTTGCTTTTTGTTGCTTCAATGACTGAGCGACGGACAAAACCGTCGCTCAGTCATTGAAGCTGAAACACCAACTAGGAATATAACACATTGACAAGGGTTAACAATGCAATATCAAACTTTAGCATAAAAATTTTTATTATAGTTTTAACATGTTGCACATTATTAGACTGTCTGTATTTGTGTCTTCTGTTTGTGGCTTTTGTACCAGAAATATTCAGGCATGATGGTAACCATGGGGGCGTAAGCCAAGATTTCTTGTATTGTATGGGCCTTGTGTAGTGATCACTGAGCTGAGTTGTATTAAAGCAAAGCTATATCACATTATGTTTTTGTTTTATCTTTTTGTTTTTTGCATGACTGGGCCTTAATATAGGTTTATATTGGCTCATTCTACTGTTAGGAGTACACAGAATATAAAAACATTTTGATTGTCCTCATGTATACTGAAGGCTTTGATAACTATGTAGTTTTCTTGGCCCCACATTTCAACCTATTTTATACTTTTTTTAGCAGGAAAGCTGTTCTGTCAGTGGGCAGGGCACAACAGGTGGACAGCAAAACCTTGCTGAATGGTTTATTCATGACAGCTAGGACACTCTGCGTGTCAAAGGTCCATGTGGTTTAATACCAAATATGACCATAATGCTCCAGGTTGTGCTATGCATATTCAGCAAGATAGTATCAATTGAATTGAGACAATGACTTTAATGAATGCAGGGAAACTATATAACAGAGACCCTAGTCTATCCCAAACACTCCATGTCCCAGGTCTCTGCTGTCAAAAAGTTAAACTAGATGAATGTAAATCAACTAGTGATTGTGTAACCTATTGTAAGCTCACCTACAAGTGAAAGTGTAAAGTGTTACAGTAAATAACAAAAAAAACCTCCCAACTCAACCAGCTATAGGAAGGGATTTTGGGCTGTATTTGTCTTTTCTGTGTAGCAATGAGTGGAACGGTCCTTTATCTGGAAAGCCCAGTTTCGGTCAGGGGTGGAGTGAGAGCACGGGAAGCGAAGAAACGGAAGTAAATTATTGATGGTCCTTAACTTAAGACGCCACAGAGGTTTATGACCCTTTATGACCCACCATCAGTGGTGACATTACTGGGAGACCTTTAATGGAGCTCTTTTTTAATAGTAATCACCTCATGTTTCAAAATAGAATAGTATAACATAATTTGTTGGCCTTCTCGTGGGCTGTCTGTGTGAATGAGGCCCGTTGAGCCAAGGTTGACTTTCATGTTAATACGTTATCTGTAAAAGGCTTCTGCACATTAATGAAACTGCATTAACGAGTGTGTGTGTGTGTGTGTGTAGTATATATGCGTATAGGATGTAAAATGGGAATTCTGTCATATGTTTAAAGACAATTAGGTATGGTCAGAAATGGTGCTTTACTTCGTTGTAGGATTAACCATGTAATAATTAACATTTGACTCCTTGTTGTTGCTGAAATAGTTTAAGAAAGGCAGAATCAAACTTGGCTTTGGGGATAAAATAGAGGCTCTTTTTTCTTGGTCCAACCATAACCACCATCATTCATCAATTTATTCTATTTTTCTCTCTTTCAATATGTAAACATGGTATGAAAACATTGCAGTCTTAGTCATATCATTATCATGAATGTATTAATGCTCATGATGAGGATTATGAAACAAAACATTTCCAAATCCCACCACAGTTACACTTATTTTTGTAGGTTTGCATAATTTGTTCCAGGTGCAAGTAACATCTCTCTGCAGATGCTGTGGATAGCTTTGCCTTACTATCTGTGGCTGGCACTGACTGTTCACACCTGGTGTAAATAACAACTGCTGACTTTTATTAATCCCTCCGCTTGACTGCAGTAATTGAATACACTAAAAGCACTAATTATCCCTTTGTGAGTAGGGTGGGTGAAACCGCAGATACAAGCCATATAATGATACATTTTAGATGGGCTAGGTAAGTTTGTATACAAAGCTCTTGGGCAGGTACCCAGGCATCAATGGAGACTAATGTTGTATATTTGAAATCTATCTGGTAAAGTTCAAATGATGAGAGAATGTGGGTAACACAAGACGCCCAAACCATATTGTCAAGATTTTCTGTTGAAACCAACTGACAGTGACAATGACTAAGTGAAGCAAACGTGGAAGTTCTGGGAAATATGCTATTTTCTTGCTTGCCAAGAAATAGATGATGAAAAATCGATACCATTGTCATGTCTATACGATAAATATGAAACTACAGCCAGCAGCTGCTTATCTTAGATTAGCACAAAGATAGGAAACAGGGAAAAAAGACTAGTTTGGTTCAGTCTAACAGCAAAATCCAGTTTCAAAATGCGCCTACCAGCACCTCTAAAGGTCATGATGCATCTTTGTTAAATTTGTACAAAAACCAAAATGTAAAAACGTCAAGCTGCAGATTATGATATTTCTTTTCCAGGTGCTTTAACTTTGGAAAAGCTCTGCCTAGCAGCCTCATAGTGATGTTAAGACTCCAGGAAGTGACCTTGCACGGACGAGAATTGGTCCCACTTACAACATTTTTCTAACAAATCACAGGCAGCAAAACTCAAAAACAAACTTATAGCAAGAAAACTTTATCATTCATGGCTCATCTTAGCAAATGCTTGCTTACTTATTACTTACTTATGACTACTGCCTAGAAAATACTTTTCTATATATACAAAATAACAAACATGGCAGCAGAATCATTTTCAGGACACCTTGTCATGTTTTATCAGAGCACCATCTGCAGTCCTCTATCTCACCACGTCATACTATAAGTCATTTAAAACGTGGATTGACTGGCCAGCTCCCAGGAAAAATATCTGAGACCTTTTACTCGCTAGATGTATGACATTTTTCAACCACCGCTTGTTTACTTGACTTTTGTCATTTCACACTGAACCTGTAGCGTTCAGTTGGCTTGTGAGCTTGTGTCCAGAGAGTGGGTCATGCGATTCAGAGGACAACCTTTACAAAATCCTTTCAGCAGGCTACGGGTGATGTCACCGATGCTCCATTAGTGTTTTCTACAGATTTTTTCTAGTTGCTGTCAAAAAAAAAGTATTGTTCAAAGCCAGCCCCAAATTGTGTGCTATGTCACATTCTTGCTTTAGAACATGCACAATATTGATCACAATTTATGAATTTAATAACACTGATAAATGTGTATGAAAAACAACACTGTGCACTATGGCTACTCCCAGTGCAGTGTAGAGACCCTCTCAGACTCGGGCAGTCTTTGGCTAAACAAAGGGCCGACTGCTTGTTCTTCCTTCATAGTGACAGCAGCTAGGGCATGTAACCTACTTTAGGAAACTGTGCATCACTGCCCTTCCACCATATCTGCCATGTATGCCTGGCACTTAGATTTTCTGCAACACTGCAATATTTCTCAAATTTAAGGTGTTTAAGAGTTGTTTCTGTCTCTTTACTGTTATCGTTAAAACCTTTCTAGAAGAATGTTTTAAGAAGATTCATAAATCCGAGTAAGCATTTAATTTCCATAAGGTTTTATAAATGCAGACAGATTATCTCAGTCTGAACTTGAAGACAGCCCATTATTATGTTAGCTGACTGTGTCTCTCTGCCACCACCCCATGCCCACTCCTGTTCACCAGCTACAGAGTGGATGCTTCCTCTCTGAGATACACGCAGTAATGAATGGCTGACACGCATGGGTGTTGTTATTATAAAAATTACAGTATTTAGCACGTCTGTAAACAGCATCTTTACTTGTTCAATCTGTGCCTTCATAATTTTGAGATGTTTATGCAACTTAATATAGCTTAATTAGTGACTGTCATTTTATTAAATGACGAGAGGCTTTTTGTTAAAAGCGATTGCGCAAAAGCTTTCAACTTTGGGAACTGGAGTGTTTGTTTGTCTGAGGACAGATGATGCTCCCAAGGCTCAGCCACAGGAAATGTCCTGTAAACATGCTTGTATAACCATCCCCCATCCTCCCTCAGATAGCATTTGGCTGGACATCATTCTGCTTCAGTGTGTGTGTGTGTGTGTGTGTGTGTGTGTGTGTGTGTGTGTTTTCCCTGTATGTGTGTCTGTTGGGCTGTGACTGTAAAGCAGGCTATGTGTTGCAGGATTATACCAT